GTTAATCAAAATTACGCACATGAAATACTTAGAACTTTTCGAGTCTCATCCACTCATTCTAAATCATTGCCGAAATAAATTTCAGGAATTAAAATAGAAATCCTCCCTAGTGGAGTCGCCAAAAACTGTAGGGAATATTTCAAGCATTATCCCTAGCTTGAACCCCACTGTGATCATAAACTTAAGCATGGTGGCGTCCAAAGGGAAGGAAGCTAGAGCAAAAGAGTCGCCAACAAGTTTTAGGAACTTGTAAACTGTTCACAGGGTGAAGGTTACACCCCTTAACGATCCAGGAGATCGTAAATTCCAATATGTCTGGAACCATGATTGGTAGTTCGGGGATGAAGGTACAAATCCATCCTAAAAGAGGTTGAACCTACCCTAATAATAGGCCTCTACTTTATTCTTCTCGTATTCATGTGCGTTTTTAGACTAACATGCAACCAATAGGTTTACCCTAAACCTGTGTATCTATGTTGGTTGAATATTAATGCAAAAATAAATCTTTTATTGGCGATCACTTGAATTATAATCAAATTAATCCTAAACAAGATTATTAATTATCTTATTAAGCGTGATTACAAGTACCAATTCCCTTTAAACATGCATAAAAGGCGTGATCAAGCAATAACAATTAGATCAAGCAATATAATGATAATCACGATAAAAATAATAATAATCATAATAATTCAAATAATTATAACCATCATAATAATTAATCATGTTAAAGCATAAAAATAGCATGATCCTAGGCATGATACTAACAAGATTAATAACAAAGCCTAGCATGTCACTAAATAATAAAGATCAAAGCTTTAACCCTAAACATGATACTAACATGAATATTAGAAAAGACAATAAAAGGCATCATAGAAATCATAATTGATCTAAGGAACTTATTCTTTACCCTAAACATGATACTAGGAAGCATTCTTTTAATCATTCTTGATATTAGAAATTACTCTAAACATGATACTAGGAATAAAAATAATAACCTAAACATGATTTCTATATCAAAATATCAATAAAGCAATTATAAGCACTTACTTGGATGCCTCGTACCTCTTTCTAATAACAAAATACACGCTTTAGTAACTTCAAGGAAAATAATAATCAAACAATTAAATTAAATAATTGAAAGAGAGATTTGGGACCAAACCCTCAGAAATTAAAACCTTTCACGTCTAGGGCGCAGGCAACTTCGAATTTGGCTAGGTGTTTCTTGGTCTTGTGAATGTGGAATTTTGTATGCAAAAGGGTTGGTTTAGAAAAGAGAGAAAAAAATCAAGAGAATCTTGATGAGATAGAGAATTAGATAATTGATGATATTTGATGATCGAAAACGGAGGTTTTAGGAGGCTATTTATAGAGAAAATCAGCCAAACGGATAGAAAAACAAGTTAGAGTTTCGTCGAGGATAAAACAGGTTAGCGCCAGACGCTGGACATTAGTGCCAAGCGCTAAGGCTAGCGCCAGGCGCTAATCTCTGTCGTCAGGCGCTAGAAATTATTTTCACGCGTTTTCTTAATGATGATAAAATTTATCCATACAGAAGGACAAAATCGTATTTTCCTTAAAAACACTCTTTTATTCTGATTAAAACTCTAAAAAGTCAACCAAAGTCAATTTATCAATGCTAATTGAATTAGGAATGAAAAGAACCTTCTAGAAGAATCTAGAAGACTAAAATCAATTTTAATTGCATTAGGAACGATAAATCCATATTAGGCCCTACTCTAGATCATTGGGCCGCATATAAGTATCAAACCGGGCCCAATTTAGTAATTTGGCCATAACTTCCTCATTATTCATCGGAATAGGGCTTATAATATATCGTTGGAAAGCTCTTTTCAAGCCCCATCCAACTACACAATTATTGGAGCCTTGCGATGGACCAAATCAAACTGGATTGACTGTTTTCTTAAAATAGGTTTTTAAAAACAGAGAGAAGAGAAAAGAAATTAAAACTATTTCCTTAAAAACACTTCTTATATTCTAAATAAAACTCTTAAAACTTTATTGTCGATGCTAATCAAATTAGGATTCAAAATAACCTTCTAGAAGATTCTAGAAGACTATAATCATCCTAATTGCATTGAGAATGATAAATCATAATAGACCCTCCTCTAAATCATTGGGTAGTATATAAAAATCAAACTAGACCCAGTTTAGTAATTTGGTCATAACTTCCTCATTATTCATTGAAATTGGGCTTATAATATATTGTTGGAAAGCTCTTTTCAATCCCAATCCAACTACACTATTATTGGACCCTTGACAAGGACCAAACTAGACCGGATTGGCTATTTTCATAAAATAGGTTTTTAAAAACAGAGAGAAAGAAGAGAACTAAAAAGCTAACCGCAACACTAGACTTTCCACACTTTCATTTCATTCGATTATGATTTGACGTGAAAGGTATTCATCACTGGGTTTGGTTTAGGGGAGACACAATGGGTGTCTACACAAACCTATTGTAGTTAACGATCTCCTAGATCGTTAAGGAGTGTAACCTTCACCGTGTGAACGGTTTACAAGTTCTTAAAACTTGTTGGCGACTCTTTTACTCTAGCTTCCTTCCCTTTGGACGCCACCATGCTTAAGTGTATGATCACAGTGGGGCTCAAGTGTGGGATGACTTGAAATATTCCCTAAAAGAAGGCTCGAGGGAGATATAGAAAGGGAGTAAGTGCGACCTATAATTTTCGATTATTGTTTTATCTTTTCTCACTTATTTGATCATAATTTTGTCACAACATATATAATCACACAAAAAAATTTTGGTGCAGCAAGCCACACCGTGTGGCAGGGGTTACCCGAATTATTTTGTTAGGGGTTATTGGAGTTATGCAGTTGAGGGTTACTCGAGTTACTGGGTCATGCGTTACTTGTGAGGTTCAGATAGGGGTTACTCGAGAGGTTCACTCGGTTAAAGGTTACTTGAAGGATTAATCGATCAGGGGTTACACAAATTACTCGGTCAAGAATTACTCGAGGAGTTACTCGGTCATGGGTTACGTGAGTTACTCGATCATGGGTTACTCGAGTTACTAGGTAAGGGCTATTTAAGGAGTTCGGTCAGGGTTTAGTTGACTAATTCGGTCATGGTTACTTAAAGAGTCCGGTCAGGGGTTACCCGGTCAGCGGTTACTTGAGGGTTCATTTAGGGGTTACTTAATGAATTACTCAGTCCAAGGTTAGTCGGTCAGGGGTTACTTAAGATAGAGGAGGAGAGGAGGGGGAGAAGGAGAGAAAGGGAAAAGGAGGTAGAGAAACAAGGGCCAAAATAGAGAGAATCATCAAGAGAGAGAAAGGGAACTATGAAAGCGAAGGGTTTGGAAAGAGAGACAAAGAGGGGCAAAGCGATAGGGCATGCCGAAAGATAGAGATAGCAGTTCGAAAGAGATAAGGGGTAGGCTAGAAGAAGGGATAAAGGTCGAGAGAAAAAAAGTTAGAAAAAATTGGAGGGATAGAAATATAGGTTATGAAGGAAAGAGGATGAGATAGAGAGTGGAAGAGAAAGAAAAAAAATTGGAGTATCGACCATGCAAAAAACACAATTTAATCCAAACCTAAATGCACACTGATCAGATCCGGCTAAAACAATTTATAAATTGCAAAACAAAAATCCATCAATTTGAACATGTATAAAAATTTACAAACACATAGTAGATATCAAGTACAAATGTATCAATTTTAATATGTATATTATCAATTTGAACATGTATAAAATTTAAGATAAGTTGGGATAGGCCCAATTCAACTTTCAAATCAATAGCTTAATAGATGGGCCATAAAATCATCTTTTGTTAATTTGGTACAACAACAAAAACCAATCCATTCATATAAAAAGAACAATCCATAATTAAAATTCATGTTAAAATTTGTTACTACATAACAACAACGATATTAGTATAGTACTAATTCGTATATAACAATAACATTATATTTGTAGATACAACAAATATTATGTCAAAATACAAAAAATTAATTACACATTTACCTTAAGTGTTATGCAAAACTATTTCGATTCGCCAAATGGAGCACGCGCAGAAGTGATATTTTAAAGTAATTTCTTTAACATCTATTATATAAATCAATCTATTATAACTTTTTTGGCAAAATCTAATAATACTCCATTTAAAAGATAGTTAAAAAGGAGTTGAAATAATTTTTTTTTTTTTTTTTTTGAAAGAAGTTGAAATTATTATTTAGGTAAATGTGTATACAATAGTTATGAACACCAAATAAAAAGGTTCATATATTTGTCATAAAGATAGTATAAAGGATTTGAAATGATATAATTATTGAATCAAATATTAACAAAAAAAAAGTTTAAAAAAGGAAGGGGAGTTTTGGAAGGACAAAATAACACCAGGATGTGACATGTGTCACTCATGGTGTTTGTTTTAGTATTAAGTTATTGATTGATTGATTGATTACATGCCTACTAGATAACAAATCGTCACAAAAGCACATCAATTCCTAACTAGTTTTATATCAATGATGCATTTTAAAATTTGACATATAGATTAGATTAAAAAATTTATCATATAAACAACCCGGGAATCACACAAGCACAAAAGTAGTTATGCATAATGTTAAGATCCCATATTATTTTATTAAGATTTATTGTTTTAAAATAAAAATATGTATATATACACTAAAATAACAACAACTGATGTTATTATTGCCTACGTGTCACTTTTTTATTTAATTTTTTCCCTCTAAAATGCAAGGATGATGTCATTTTTGTTTTTACCATATTTAACATATCTTTGAAATATATTCCATTTGAATTTTTAAATTATAATTTTTGGGTTTTCTACACATATTATTATACTTAGTTATTTAAGAGTTGTTAACAAAAGTTAATAATAGAACTTAATTGAAATTTCTTAATTAAATTTCGAGATTTTATATTCATATTTAATTAAAAATTAGTTGGGAAAATGAGGAAATTATTTTTTTTTCAATACGTGTTAAGAGTCTATAATTCAATTCTTATTTTAAAACCGTGTATCGCACGAGGTTAATGTAGTTACAATACAATAAACAACCATGCATCGCATGGGTTTAAGACTAATTTTTTTTAAAAAAAAAAAAAAAAAAAACAACGTGACACATGTCCACACGGGCACGATTTACTAGTTTTGGCGCAAAACTCTCCTCCACCGTTACTTGAAAATTGAAATGTATGCAAACAAAAAAATCCATCACAAATATCAAAATTATCAATCAATTACTTTCCTTTCCTAAAAAAAAGCAAGAAGACGACTACAAATTCCAAAATTACTCCTCACTCTTCAGCTCTTCTTCCCTTCCAGTCTCCCAAAATATCTCCTTCTTTTTCTCTCACTAATCCATCTATGGCGTCTTCTCACTTGCTTCATCCCACCATTGCAATACCCCTCAAACATTCAAATCACGCACTTCATTCCAAATCCTTCCTCAAACCCCAAACAACAACAATCTATGTTAAGGGTTTCCGAATTCGAGCTTCTGATGGGACCAACAATGGCGATTCTTACCTTAAAATGTGGAAGAAAGCTGTTAATCGGGAGAAAAAGGAGATTGAGTTTAATACGATTGCCCAGAATTTGCCCCCTGTTGATGGTGAGGAAACCCCAGATGTTTTGGAAAGGAAGAGTAATGAGTTCCAGAAGATTCTGGAAGTTTCTAAGGAGGAGAGAGATAGGGTTCAGAGGATGCAGGTTATTGATCGTGCTGCTGCCGCCATTTCTGCTGCTCGTGCTCTTCTTAAGGATAAGAAGGCTGCTGCCGTTGCCGATGCCGCCAGTTCGAGTGCTACAGTTCGATCCAATAGCAATGGGGTTTTGAGCTCGGAAACTCCCAATGGAGGTAATTGTTTTGATTTTATTTTTTATTTTTTTATTTTTTTTTTTTTTTTTTTTTTTGTATTTTCTTGTTGTTTGGTAATTTTAATTCTATTGCAATTTTGATTTATATGTGATTATGTTATGATATCGAGCTGGTTTTAATCCCGTGCAATGCGTTGGTTAATATTTAAATCATATTGTGATTATGATATAATCTTATGACTATATGAGATTGCTCTTCTAGGATAGTGTTGCTTCACTTGTTTGATTGTGTGATTGTAGAATTTAAGAGCATCGACAATCATGTTACTACCTCGGTTTCAAATTATTTGCAAGGATTTGACATAAATTGTGAATGTCTAATCATTGTAAATATAATTTGAAACGAGGTAGTAAAAGAATTCATTTCATCCCTATATTTCTACCAATCATGTATGTAATGAATTAAATCTATCTCTATCATAAATTTTCACTCTGCCCACCATATGTTTTTTATTTCTTACGGATACTATATAACCGAAGATAGGTGTCTCTATGTATAGATCTTGAAAATTAATGAATGTTGGTGAATTACCAAAAATAAATAAAAATAAAAATAAAAATAAAAAAATAACAGAGATGAAATGCTAATTTAAGTTGTTAGAAAGCTGCTGACAATAGCAAGTGGGAACTCTTGGTTGGTCAGCATCCGCGTCATGCTACATTAGCAGCATTTGTTTTATTTGCCTTCCTGCACTCCTAAACAATGACTTTTGGAGCATGACATTCACTGGATGTACCTTGAACATGTCATATTGAGTGTGTGTGGATGGCCACAAATTATAAATGTCTGCTTTGGTTCCGTTTCCAGTTTTCCACACATAGTGGTGGATGGTGTATAGTATTGACTATTCTATGGTATATATCACCACCAGAGATGATATTATACTATGGGTGGAATCCTATAACATAGATTTTACTTAAAATCTCATCCGATGACATGAATGAACCTCATGGCTGGATGCTCTAAGAACAATGTGAAACCTTCATATAGTCTTATTCTTGAGCTCTGGATACAAATTTATGATGAGAATTTCAAATGTTAAGAAATTGAGTTTGATTCCACACAAAACTAGATATAGTTGTGGATGTATGTTCGGTCAAATTCCTAACCCGATAACAAAAGCTTGTCAATTCCTTGAACTCCAAAATCTAATATTTTTCTAGAGTAAGGAACTTGAATCATAAACAAACTAGGAAACTAAGTGTCGTGATACAAGTTTGATTTTTTGAATCATAGCTTAATCTAGTCAAATACCGACCCATACTAAGGAACTTGATGACCAAGTATCCTACTACAAATCCTAATCTTACTAGGAAAACAAATTATAATCGTAATATGAAATTAAATTTCTTTCCTACTGGAAGACAAATCCTAAACTCACTAGCTTGCGAAAAACAAATCCCACTCCAACTAGGAATTGAAATAAAATCTTATTCCAGTTAGTGATTAGAAGCTATATAAGCAGGAAAAATACTCTCAAACTAATTTGAGATAAGTAGAGAAGAAACATTCATATGCATCATTCCCTCCTTAGAAATAAAGCTATTCTTGAGGTTACCCAAGTATGAAATAATATTAGCTTCCTTGAATTAAAAATCCAATTAATGCATTCTAACACAAACATAAAATGAGGTAACATGACATTAGAACATCTTATTTACAAGCATTCAAACCAAGATTTTCCTTTCTTGTAGTTGAACTCTTCATTGAACCCTAACGAAGTAGCATAAAGGTGATTATTGAGTAATAATTCAAACCAAGACTTATTCCATGTCTTGATGAGATGTTAAGGATTAAAAATCAAATTTAAAGTTTAAGGAATTAATGAGATATTGCTATCTAGGTTTAGGAATCAGTTCGAACATACAATCATGACTTGTATAAAATTAGTGGCCTCAATCCACTTCTTACTATTTGGACTTGCTGTAGACTCTCTGTAAGGTCATCATCAATAAGTATGATATAATCAATAAATTTATACTCTTCATCTCACAATTACAATCAATTTATCTTGTTCATAATGATCCTAAGTAGACATTTTAAAAAGACTTATTTACAGTAGGCTCATCCTGTACTTAATGTTGTTGCAAGAGTTCCAAGATTGGTTCACCAAATGACCAATTTACCTAGGCTTGTACCGTCTGTGTCTGTTCAGGACATCAAGGAAAGCTACATGCATCACATGCTCTTGAGCTTCTGTTGACTCATTGAAATCTCGAATTTTATCAACACCAATATTTTTACACCATGATTTCCACTATTAAGGAATTTTCTTTCTAGAAAAGTTGTATTTCTGGCCACAAACATATCCCATAACTTCCTTGAGATAGCCATCAAATCTACACTTATCAGATCTCTTCTGGCTACAGTCTTTTGATTGGACAACCCAGACTTTCAAGTGTTACAGGTTATGATAGTTATTATATCTTAAATGGAGTTTAAGTGGCTGCTTTAGTTGGAATATGCATTACCAAATACCAGTAGGAATCTGAAATTTTGCTATTTATGAAATTCCTATTATAACTTGTTATTCTATCTCTCATTGACATCAAAAACTTAAAGCTTTTGTTCTAAACTAAGGAAGCATGACTTTGACCAAATTAATGCATGACCGCTAAAGTGATAACTAATCCAAATTTTAACAACCCATATAGGAATCTGAAATTTCGCTATTTATCTTCACCCCCGAGCCCTCCCTAGGTTGATTCTACTAACAAAGTAACAATTCCTTTCCTCTCCTTTTGTTTGTTTCTGTGCCTGGAGTAAGTTAGGATGACTGGTGGCATGAAGGTGGTCCTTCTTGGCTTGTCACATCACCCTCTTCTAATAGACACACATTGTCCTCAAGGTGGACGGACAGAGATCTCTTGTTGATGGCTGCTGCATCCTCCCAAGTAGCTTCCAACTGGGGTAGTCCTTTCCACTTGTTTGGAACCTCTATCTTGGCCCCTTTACCAGTTGTATTTTTACAGACTTCAGACCAACATCAATTTGTTCTGGAATTATAAACAGTGCCAAAAGTGAGTTAAAAACCCATTAAACCCCCTGCCATAGTGCCATTCAATACAAAATCATAGATAACAGTGCCTAAAGTGAGTTAAAATCCACTTGTCAACATATACTATGAAATTAGAATTTCTTCGTAAGTTTTAATGCTTGAAATAAGCTAGATAGTTATAATCCTCCCCCTTAAATAAAATTAAGCACCTTGTAAAATGAACTACCAAGTCTTTTGTAATTCTGACATTATATGACAATAAAAAGTATGTCTGTCACACAAAGTTATTCTCACTTATTGTAATTAATATACCTGTAATAGACTTAGATTAGTCAAGCAACAATGAACACGAAACAGTTAACAAATAACTAAATTTGGTGAAGTAAAGATTGAATCTTTAATTTGGTTTCAAAAAGTAAAGATTGAATCTTCAATTAATCAAATGCTTAATGGTTTACACAAAACATTGAGTTTAGCTCACTATTCTAGTGACTTTAGGTCACAACTCTCAAAATAGTGACTTGAGCCCTTGAGATCACAACTTTCTCAAGGATTCACTCCCCAAAATCTGCCTATTGTTTCCTTTCCTCTTCTCTCTATTAATAGTAAAACTTAAGACTATTAACCTAAAAATACTAGACTACCCATATAGTCCTTCCTTAGGTTAGTGTATTTTTTAAAAAAAAAAGGTAAAATGATGACATATCTTTGACATATATAAATCAAAAGTGGGAAGAATGGCCTGTAATAGAAAGTGATGGGAAGAACTTAATGGAATGGATAGAGTATTTGTCAACATATGATGTTAGTATCACTCATTATTGAAGTTATTATTATTATAACAAGGATCACGTTTTACCTTGTCCATATCATTTTTGTAACCATTTCTGCAACCCATATTGTTGTTGTTGTTACTACTTTACTAGTATAAGTCCATCTAATGCAATTATGTAAGGATCATGTTTTACCTTGTCCATATTATTTTTGTAACCACTTCTCTGCTACTTAAAGCAACTTTTTCATTTTGGCTTAAAATCCAGCTTTTTCACTGGCTAAAAAGCCAATTACCAAATACATTTTTTGGTTGTTTGACTACATAAAAAAGCCAAAAGCTAACCAAAAAGCCACCAAAAAGCCATTTACCAAACATGGCCGAAGCCTTTACAGGATAAGCTAAGTTGAAAACTGCACAGAAAAATTGCCTCAGTGCTTCTTTTAAAGGATTACATAAGTTATTCTACACAAGTTAAAAAGTGAAACCATATAGTATATCAATTTGGGGATGTGATCTCAGTTAAAATGTATTGCTTTAATTTCTGCATCAGTTTTTTACTCTGTTCAGTCTTTTATCATAATTGGAACTCCATTGGCTCAAATGTCTTTCAATATCTCATCTTTCTGCTGTTCAATCTCCGCTTATCATGTTGAGACTTGAGGATAATTGAACCACCCTAATTAATTATTTATAGAAAGGGACAAATGGCTGAACTGTATTGGAGCAGCAACTATTTTCTTGGATAAGTTTAATCTCTCAGTGCATGTATATTTGATTGATTGTTGGAAAGACCTATGTTTTACAGGCATTATAATTGCTATTGTGAATTAGCAGGAATAGACAAAGGAAGCAGTTACAAGCGACAGTCCAGAATTTCTGGAGATGGGCCACCTGGTCCAGACTTTTGGTCTTGGACACCTCCATCAGTGGATGATTCAAATCAAAATGATGTCGGTAACTTACAGAAAGCCCCAAAAACCTTTGGAAATCCATCTCCAACAAATAGTGTGATTGAGAAAGAGAGATCTGCTGATTACCTCTCAATACCATTGGAGAGCACTTACTCAGAAAGCAACCTAATCCCACCTCTCCCACCTTTTCAATCTTTGCTGGAGGTGCACAAAATAGAAGCTCCTGATGCCAGTCAAGAGAACCCTGTAATGAGTGAGGAAATTGATTCTCAGTTCTCAGCTCATGCAGCTGAAGCAGCTAATGCTTTAAATAGTGTAGAAGAAAAACCATCTTACCAAATAAAACCTGATGGAGCTAGGATATGGAATGAGACAGGAGTGGAAACAAGATCCGATGGTGTTGTTTGCAGATGGACATTAAACAGAGGTGTAACGGCTGATGGGGTTGTAGAATGGGAAGAGAAATACTGGGAGGCAGCCGACGAATTTGATTACAAGGAACTTGGGTCAGAGAAGTCTGGTCGTGATGCCATGGGAAATGTTTGGCATGAGTATTGGACGGAAACAATGTGGCAGGTACAAGATGTTAAATGTGAATAAGTTTACAGTACTGACTTGTCACTTTTATAGTTTTATATGACTTGAATAAAATATTATAATACAATTATATTGGTATTGCAGAGTTTTGATCCATTGATATATAATTTTTTTTTTTTCAGTCTATGTGGTGGTTATTGTTTGATCATGCATATGCTTGGGTTGCTTGAGTACTGACCATCATCAGATGTGGCATACGTCTTAGCTGAGTTTTGGCACTGTAGTATTCAGCTACACAAGATGAAACTTCCATACACATTTGAGTTTGATAATCTAGCTTTTATAATTTGATATATTAACATGAAGTACCCAACATGGGTTCATTATATGTTAAACTTGTATTTTTCTTGCTGCCTCATAATCTATAGTCTAACCGTCAATCTTCCTGGATTTCATGCGCAATTGCATTTTTTAGGCTGAGAAGAATAGAATGGTCTTCTGAAGGAGAGCAATTTAAACTTGGTTATTATTCTCTACGTTAAATGAACTTTTTTGATCAACTGATCAGCAATTGCTGGACTGTGATAGTAGTTTTCCATGGCTTTATTTCTAAAATATTCATTTCTTACTATTTGGAAATATTTAAAGTGCTTTCCCATTTTGATGTGTACAGGAAGATGGTCTTTTACACATGGAGAAGACTGCAGATAAGTGGGGAAAGAATGCAAAGGGTGAGGAGTGGCAAGAGAAATGGTCGGAGAAGTATAATGCCTCTGGGAAAGCTGATAAGTGGGCACACAAGTGGTGTAGTATCGATCCCAACACTCAAGTTGAGGTTGGTCATGCTCATGTTTGGCACGAGAGGTAATGGGAACCATGTCCTTTTCTGGGGTTGTTTTTGTCTGTCACTTTAGTGGTTTATATCTTCTTCCTGTGCAAGATTTGTAGATGATGTTGTGGGGTGGGGGGTTGGGGGTGAGTTTAACCTTAAATGTTTCACTAGTTTAAGTCTGGTGCCACACACAGTATATAAAACTAATTTTCATGACAATTTTTGTCAATTCAATAATAACTTTTGTACCAAAAATATTATATTGATGGTTGTTTAATGGTAAGATTAGATTAGTTTTCTTATTAATTAAGATTATTGGTTATATAAATGGTAAGAAAACTTAAAAGGAGAACAAAAAAAATAAAAATGAAAATAAAAAAAGCCAATTGGAGGGAAAATTTTCACCACAGCATGACAAGTGTCATGTCAATATTTGCTTTTAGTATAAGTTTATAGATAACTAGTTTTGTGCCCGGGCAATACCCGGATGTTTGATAAAATTTTAAGATAACTTTTTTACTATAATGTAAATAATTTGTTCTAATAATGTAGGATATTTAAACATATGATATCATATATCTAATATTTATATAATAATAATCTTTGTAGTTTTATTTGTAAATAGATATCTATGTTATTATTGACTTGAAATTATTTTTAATGAACTTAAATTAATTTTATTGAACTGAAAGTATTTTTTACCAAACTAAAATTAATTTTACTAATTAAAACTTATTTTTACCGATTCTCTAATATTTTTTTAATATTAATTAAATAACAACGCATTTTGTATGTAACTAACCACACTATTTAGTCGACAAAGTAACCCTTGTAAAATTGACCGAGTAACCCCTGTAATACTAACTGAGTAACAGAGGGTTTGTTTACTAAACTGAATTGAGCTCAAATGAATATTTTATGAGAGCAGGAAATTAGGAGCGGAGCTGAACTGAATTGAACTGATTGGAGCTGAACTGAACTTAAACTAAGCTGAAGTGAACAAACCTTTAGTAGCCCTTATCTGCAACACTGATTGAGTAAACACTATAACACTGACTAAGTAACCTCCATAGCACTAACGAAGTAACTCTTGTCATAGTTGGTGACACGATTTGGTCATCTACGTACAAAAGTGTGTGATTAAATATATTATAAATGAATCTTATTTTATTTATTTTTTTGAAACATAAATGTATCTTATTTTTATGAACTTTTAAAAACGAAGTTAATAATGGAAATGGAATTGAGTTTTAGGATATTTATTAAAAGTTATGATTAATTTTGTATGTATGAAATATTAAATTCTATTGATAATAAAACTCTATACAATCTTAAAAATCTATCCAAAATCGCCTACGTAGTTCATATGTGTTACAATAATACATATTTATCTTCTACGTGGTGCAACACATGGTGAAAACTGAAATGTCAAGTAACGGTATTTCATGGCGTGGGTGCGAGACTGGTTTTGTATATTAGTGATATGATAAGTTATTATGATGTACTTTAAAGTGGCATGTTTAATTTTCTCGCCCAATTCTTCTAAGGTTCAACCTTTGGTTGACTTATCTGAATTTAAATTTCATATTAAGTTCTTGAATTTCGCTGAATGGATTAGTTTGAACTTTAAGTTAACTTATTTGAACTTATTGTATCTTATTTTCTTAGAATATACTGTCTAAATCTTTTTCTATTAGAATGCATTTGGTTTTAAATAAGTCAATATATATTTAGGTGATCAAACCCTAGCTAAATGTGTCTACACTTGTACAGGTGGGGAGAAACATATGATGGTCAAGGTGGAAGTATAAAGTACACTGACAAATGGGCAGAGCGCTGGGAAGGAGACGCATGGGTAAAATGGGGTGATAAATGGGATGAGAACTTTGATCTAAATGCTCACGGAATTAAGCAGGGGGAGACCTGGTGGGAAGGTAAGTATGGTGACCGTTGGAACCGCACTTGGGGCGAGCAACATAACGGCTCTGGATGGCTGCACAAGTACGGTAAAAGCAGCAGTGGAGAGCATTGGGATACCCATGCGCAGGAAGATACCTGGTATGAGAGGTTTCCACACTTTGGTTTTATGCATTGCTTTGAGAACTCTGTGCAGCTAAGGGAAGTTAAGAAGCCATCTGACACATGATAACTTATGTGTTAATAATTCTTTTAGATTATACTTCAGAAATTACTAAACTGTCAAAAAAAAAAAAAAAAAAAAACTTTCTTTGTACAAATTGTTATCATATAGTCAAATAGAATATTGTATTGGATATTGACGTATCAATACACTTTGCCCATAGACCATATTTTTTTGTGTTAAAACTCATTATAGCCCACTTGTGAGTGTTCCACATTGGAGAAAAAGAGAAGTGGTTCCACTTATAAAGGTAGAGGAGTAACTTCTACTATTGCCAATTGGTTTTAGTATAGAAGCTCCTAAGCCTAGTTTGTGGACCAAAATCTCCTCCTCCTTATTCTGGTTATCCAAGCCCATTTCATATTGTTTCGAAATTTAACATCTTGCATATATTTTTCTATGCTGAGGCTATTGTAGATACCACTGAGGATATGCACTTGCAATCTGCATACCCCTCAATCTAGGTTAAAATATTTAGTTTGATTTTAAAAACTAATGCTTATAAGGGAAGGAAAGTGGGTAGTTGTCATTTATTTAGGGTTTTACTATTTTTTTTCTAAAATGAGAAAAGAGTTTTGTTGTGAAGAAGGTGGTCACAGTGACATCCACAATGTCACACAATCAAGACAATCAACCTATAACTCAATCCATGCAACCCAAAATGTCACAACAAATTCATCGAATAAGATAAGCAACAAAATGCAGTAAATAACCAACTACAATAGGAAGCAATAATAGCAAACAATACACAAATTATAAATGGAGAACCCCTTCGATATGAAGGATATAAATCACGAGATCGTTTGAGGAGTTCTCCCTATCCTTCTTTTATAAATAAATTGAGGAAAAAGGAACTCAAATCACTCTACAAATGAATAGACGGTGTAGAAATCACCCTAAAACAACACATTTGTCCAAAAACTATACATACCAAATGAGAACTCAATAAGGTGATCTGTCCGTCCAAAATGAAACTCTCAAGTCAGGAACAAGTTGTCCAAATCTGAGCAAAGTAGGCTCACAATAGCACCTTCAATCATAGCTTTGATCAAGGATGAATAATCCTTAAATACACTATGCACTCTAAACCCTCACTTTCTCTTTGTTTTTTGTGTGTTAGGCCGCGTTCTTTAGAGCTGCTCTACTCAGATCAAATTTGCTCTTCTCTGTTCAAAAGAAATCTGATCTACTCTATTTTCAAATATTAATTAATAATAACAATAATAATAATTAATATTGTATTGATGGTAATAAATTATTATTTTAAATAATTATAATAATTATTAATGTTTATCATTCATAATAGTAATTAATAATAATAATTATCAATAAAAATAATTAATAATTCAAAATATTAAGAATTAATATTTAGTAATATAATTAATTAATAATTTCTAATAATTATAACAATTCTTTCAAAAAAAAAATTATTTGGCGGACTCGTCATATCCAAATACTCTTAGATATATGACGTCGTACATCGGGGGAGTAAGAGTACATACGCCTGATTTTAGAACAATGCCACCTAGAGGATTAAAAGAACATTTTAATAAGCTACATTCATCGTTAAGAATGAAAGTGGAATGTTTATTTGGACAGTTGAAAAAATGTGGAGGATATTACATAACATGCCACAAACGTCACAAAAGAGTCAAATGTCAATCATTGTAGCCACTTGCACACTACATAATTTTAATTTGATGCATTAGCTTGGCATACCAAACATTCAATATGATGCGAATATAGGAGCAGCAGATTCAACTATGTATGCACCATGGCGCAAAGATAGTCGACATCATATAGCACTCCGAATTTGGAGGGCTAATCGATCGAAAGCGACAATTTGAACTAGACGGTTAATTCACCACGATGTTAAACTCTTATCTAATTATGTTTCCTATTTTGATATGCACGTGGTTATATTAATTTGAAGATGTTAAACTGTTGTCTTTTATCTTTCTACTATTAACATATGCTAAATATGGTACACATTTATTTATGTTTTCAATCACCTAAATCAATGGTATCAACAAATAAATAAATAAATAAATAAATAATAACTAAACTGGATTGAACTTAGCTTTAATTAATTTGCTGAACTGAATTGAATTTTGCATAACTAAACATAATTAAATGTTGAACTGAACTGGTTTGATAAGGTTTGCACAAAGTCCAAGAGAATATGGTCTTAGTAACTACTTCCTCCGTTTTTTTATACTTGCAACACATGCTTTTTCACGGTACTTAAGAAAAGTCGAGTTCATATGATTTAATACACTTAAAATGAGAGCGAGAGATGGTAAAGAGTATAATTTAGTGAGTCATGAGATTAAAATAAGGAAAATAGTGCAACTTTTAACAAAAATATTTTCTGAATATGGTGTGTTGTATGTATTGTGACATTTTAATTTTAGGAAAGTGTTGTACGTATAAAAAAACAGAAGAAGTGTATAATAACATGCACGTAAACTATGAAAAGGATGTTGTAAAATAAGATGTATTTTCAAGGCTATCAAGAAGAAATAATCAATAAGATCGAAAAGTTTATCTTATAATCAATGGAACATATACGGTGTGTCGTGATGCAAATCGCTTACTTGAAAACGAACTTCCGACGCAACCGTGGCACTCAATTGTATTCGCCGGCATGTTCTCTAAGGTTAATACACCACTCTCATACAAAGGCACTTTTGGATGAGAGGTTAGAGTCATATAAACTTACGCCCAAAAGGAGGAATGTGTTTAGCTTAAAGTGTTTGATAATTTTGTTTTTTCCATTATTTTCAACCATGAAAATATATAATGAAAGATGAAGAGCAAGAGGATGAATCTAGACAACAAAGGATGATTTAATCACAATAAACATCCAATTCAATGAGGGGTTACAAGAGAATCCAAGAGATGAAGGAAGAATGCCAAAAGTTGAATGTATGTAGACATGAAAAGTCAACTCCACAACCCACTTGTGGACAATCGTTGTTGCCACAACCTACTGGTAGAGTAGGCTGATTTTTCCTTATAAAGTAGACATAAAAAGTCTACTCCACAACCCACTTGTGGGCAAACATTGTAGGCCACAACCTTCTTGTGGAGCAAACTAATTAACTTCCAAAAAAACGTGGTTTTTACTCTCTTCAATCCAACAATCCCCCAATAATGGGAGGAAAAACGAAGCCAAAAGAATAAGAATCAACATATGGGCATAAGAGGAGATGAAGTACATAACACTTAGATATTACATTAGTAATTTGAAATCTAGTGCTTAGTGAAATGTGGCAATGAGCTACAAGCATAAGGGTTGACAAACCTTTAAACCCTTACACCCTTGATTAAAGAGTGGACTAACCTTGAAACTTCAAGATTTGAGCACAAGCTTAGTTTGGGGGAATTTGACGAGTGACATTTATGTCACTCTTAAGGAGTAGTTTTAGAGTCATTTTCTGGCTCGGTTTCTCTTATTTTCCCTTTTATTCTTTTATTTTCTCTTTTTTATTTTGGTATTTTCGGCGTGTTTTAGTTTTTTTGGTTGATTTTATTAGTTTTTGTTTTATTTCTCTTATTTTTATTATTTATTTCTATTTTAGTTATTATATTTTATGTCCCAATTCTCTCCTCGGTTTTCTTTGTGTGTGTAGGTTTGCGTTTGGATTAAGGTTTGAGTGTCAACTTATTCATGTTCAAGGTTCAAAGCTCAAGTGTAGTACTCTTAACCAAACTTCTCCTACACTCCAGTGTGCTGCCCAGTGTACCCACCTACTAAACTTATTTATGTCCCAATTCTCTTTAAGTTGTTGTTTTTTGCTGCCCAGTGTGCCCACCTACTAACCTGCACCCCACTCCCTCATATCCTACACTCCACCTACCCCGCAACACCAGCCACACTTCCCCCCTGCTCCATCCTTGACAAGGTAAAGTCGTATCCCCTAATCAAAAATAATTACCTAAGTCCTCTAACTAAAGTAGATAGGGAAGTAGGGTCGAACTCCACAGAGAAACAGGTCTTTTTACTCCTAATTAATTATTATAATCTAGATTATCTAAGTAACCAATATTTTTGTGAATTAAATCGAAACTACGGAGAATAAAGTCAAAAGGAATAAAGTAGGGAGAAAATCAAATATTAAAAGGCCTAGAGCATAGGTTCACTAATAAAAAATATTCCAGGGCAATTCATAATAAGCAATCATCAAGCATTGGTTAATCAGATTATAAAGGGCTTTCGCTACGTATTATAATCACAGAGTTAATTTACCGGTATTAAATCTCATCTGTCGAATCTCGACTTGACCATTTATAAATTAATCCGCCTATTGAAACTAAGCCTAAATACCAATTCTCATCTGTCGAATCTCGAATTAATATTGTTAAACTCATACAATTAAATCTGGCCAAACCTAATTGCATAGCATTAAATCAATCAATAGGAAATCAACCAAGCATTGATAATTAACAATCACAAAATTACCCCTTCATATCATTTATTAGATCCCCATAAACCCTAGAAATTAAACTACTGACAAGAGGAAAATGTATGTCGTTATCTACCCTTTCCCCAAGTCAAACTAAATTTGTAAACACCTAACCAACCTTATATGAATATAGGGCAAGTTAAGGGTCGATCCCTAGGGAATGCAATGATGAAAACTAGAGTCTAAGTCAAGATACCTCGAAGATGGAGTCGAGATTATGGTTGGCACTGTGGTAAACTAAAACAAGTCTAATCAAGTAAATCAAAGGTCTAAACATTAGGGATATGGGTTCCGCATGCAAGTTCAATGATAATGCTAATTTAGAGCTCAATCAATTAATTCAAGTATTGCAATGGACAAACAATAGTAGCAATCAAGAGAGTTCAAATGCTATCTCCTATAGGCCAATCTAGGAGTCACCATGAAAGGCAAATCAAGAAGAATCACAAGCAAACCCAATCAATTAGAGCAACTTTCAAATCAATCGTTCATGTCATTAAGAGTTGCAATGCAATCTAGATTAATCTTATAGGTTGATCACTCCTAGTCTAATAAATCACATGCAAAACTATGTCAACCAATTTAATTGCAAAAAGTCAATCAATCAAAGAGAATCAACTAGCAATTTCATTAATCAAACATGCTTCCCCCTTTCCCTAGCAACTAATCTACTCACTAATCATGGTGAAATTCAAGAACAAATAACTAGAAATTGCATTA